TGACTTCCTCCCCACCCCAAAAGTTCCCAAGAAGCTCCCGAAGACTATTTTAAAATTCCTACTGCAGTCTGTCCTGCTGGGAAGCACAAGAAGAAAGAACTATGGGGTTCAGAGTGGCCCTGAGACCTGTGAGGGCCTTGGGCTAACCCCTCCCAGAGCTACTGGTTGGAAGAGAGCCTTCTACCAGGACATGGCCACCTCCCCCCCCTCTCCCCCCTGCGCCCCCCCCCCCCCCCCCCCGCTTTCAAAAAAAATTCTTGCCAAGGTAGACTTTCCAAAGGACTCTGGACCACAAGTCCATCCCACCTCCAGAGCAAGACAAAGACTCTCCTTAGCAAAGACCCCAAAGAGGAAAAGCCTTCAGACAGAAGCCCTCTGGGGTGGCCTCTTGCCAGAGCAGACTGTTTCTGCTTTCCCTGTGGGATCCTGTCACAGTAGAAGCGTTCAAGGGTTCAGACCCATGTGACCAGGCCAACAGCAGGCTCCATGCCCGCTGAAGTGTTAGAAAGCCGTGTCTGGACAAAGTGGCCTTTTCCCAGCTCCTTCGCCTCTCACGGCCCCAGGCCCAGCCACCCCACCCCCATCTGAGGCAATAAGGAATGTGAGGGTCAGAGCTGTGACTCCTACTCAACCAAGCAGCCCGGAAATGGAAGCTGATTGAGACAAAGGTACAGGGTGTTCTCGAAGCACCCAACGAGAGTCTGGAACCAAGATTTCTAAAGATATTAGGGACTTCAGTGGCTTCCAGGACTTATCATTGGGAACCCTGCTCCTACTGTAGGCTGCCTTTCTCAAAATTTCTCCACATACAGCCAACCAGGGAGACCCACAACTCCTTTTAAGTAAATCTGTATCCCAGCTTTGAATCCTCTGAGGTCAGTGATGGCTCAGAATTCAGAGCCTTGAATGTTTGAACGACCATAATGGTTCAGCAGCCACATATTAACACCTCCGCTGGGACTCACGGGGGCACATGACAGCCTGCCAGGAGGCCCTAATAAGGCGGTTATTCACTCCTGTCAGGGAAGGCTAGTTTTGTAGCCAGATAGTTTGCCACACATACGAGAAAACACTCATTTTCAGAGCTTTTCATATTTCTGAATTACAATAAGATAGCCAAGCCTTCTCCATGGCTACCAGCCATGAGACATGGTCTCTCTATATCACAGAGTTCCAATGTTGAGTTATCAGGAAAAAGACTGGTCATTCTGACTGTGGCCACGTGGTGAGTGTTGTTCAGTTAAGTGAGACCGATCTATGGGGTGTGGCTTGTGAGGATAGACTCTGATTGGTCGGTTTATAATCAGGTGACACTCTATTGACCCAATCAGCAAAAACCTGGAACCTAGGGCCTGGTTATGAAGTTCTGGTGGTTAGCTTGTGGGAGAGAAGATTGAGCAGCCAAGACAGAAAACAAGACAGAGCTAGGATGAGGACTCAACTGGCCTCAACATTAGGTAGACTCTGCCTCAGCAAGACTTTGTAACTGAGTCTGAGAGAGAGCAGTATGTGAGCCACAATGTCCCATGGTCCGAGTGGAGCTCAGGAGGAATTCCAGACCTCTGTAAGTTGATGATTTGCTCTCAAGCCTCGGAGCCCATCTTGCTCTAGCTGTAGCTTCCTCTGAGAAGCCAGACAGAAGCTTCAGTCAGACTTCATCTCACTACACACCATCCTCCGCCAGAATTCCATGTAAGTACACACCATCGACGCGGGAGACATGTTCCAGGCTTCTTTCCTTGCTGTGTGTGGCTGTGCAACTTTAAAGATTTCCATCGCCTTCTATATTCCTAGGAAGCATAGTGGTGCATGCACGCCTTTAATCGCAGCATTCAGGAGGCAGAGGCAGGTGGATCTCTGCAAGGTCAAGACCAGCCTGGTCTACATAGTTCCTGGAAAGCCACAGCTACATAGTAAACAAACAACAATGGAACAATAAAATAAAAAACAACAACAGCAAAACAAACACTCTCTAACTGTGCTTGGAGCAGAAACGCACCACCTCATGTTAGTTAATGGGGTCTTTTTATCTTGGAGATTTAACTTCCCACTCATAGTAGCCTGGAGGGGACTCTTCAGAGAGTTATAATGAATTCTGAGCCCCTTTCTCATGATTAAAAAAAGACTATCCTCATTTCCTTTGGGAGAAATAACTATTCCTTGCTAGAAATAGGGACACCCTGCATTCTGAGCATAAGCCTCGAGGTGGGGGAGGGGGGGCGGGAGTGGACAGATGCATGGAGTTCTAGTCAGTGAAGAACCCTTTACCTCTGACCTCTGTTCTAGAGCCCTGGAGCCCTTGGCTGCCCGAGCCTGGAAGGGCAGCCTCTGCACACTGCAGAGTTAAGGGCAGGAAGAGCTCAGTAGAATGCCATGTCTAAGACCACAGCCAACGTCTGTCCATCCAAGTTACTTCCCCTGATTCAGAGATCTCTGTGTCTCTGAAATTTGCACCAAAGAACCAAAACAAATAACTTTTATCCCTTTCCATTCTGGAACTTTCCACAGACTCCAGCTTCCCTCAGAACGGCTTCTGCTGTTCACCCAAATACCACTTCCATTTCTGTTCAAACCAGAACATACATGTAGAAGCCAAAACCATAAATATTTATGGACATTGTGGTTTGTTTTCAGCAGTACCATTTTATCCCTTAGTATTCAGGGTCCCTGAGGGTTCGTCATTCAGAGTAAACAGCAATGGTCAAAAGAACACTAAGATGGAACTGGAGAAAATGTAGGTACTGTATGAGCACAGTGGAACAGTGACAACATACACTACACTCAATACTGGCAACACTACTTAGTGTGTGGTTTGGCATGTAGAAGATGGCAAATGCCTATAATTTTTCCTTATCACTTCGTCATCATTATCATTACTACTATCAAATGAATCACCTTAAACCTCATTTCCCCCAGGGTCACATCAACACATTAGTCCAAAGGGAATTAAGACCCACAGTTTCAAGCTGCTTCATCACAATGAGACCTAGAAATGGTATAGAATGTGCCACTGGTATACAGGAGACACACTGTCCATTCAGACTGCAGAACTGTGCTGTACCCCTAAGGCTACAGGGAACCTCAAACCTGTGATAACCTCTCATTAATCCCATCTGATAAGCTTCTTAGAAGCTGGCCTCAGTCTTCGTTTCTGTCTCTGTCTCCATCTCTTTTCATAGTTCTTCTATCACTGACTACTTTCTTGGGTCATTTATTCTAAACAGGGATAGCCACTTCCAACTGCCTACCAGGAAGCAAGGCATTCCTTCTAGAACAGGCACTGCTCTTTGTGTGCTCACATTGGAATTGTGTCATGTGACCTGTCTCATGCAAGGGTTACTCCACACCAGTCCATCAGACCACAAAGGCCTCAAGAAGCATGTGTCACTCATTGCCTTTTTAGAACTTCCTATAGAGCGCTTGGGGTACAATGCTCCGGCCATGCTTGATAGCTTACTAGGAAAGACTAGACCTTTGTTAACTCTTCAAAGTCAATTTTTCACTTCCAACCTTATAGAACTGAGTTGAACCTGAGTCCCCGGAGGAGCTTTCTCATACTTTCCTGACAGAGCTGGTTGATCATGGGCTGTCATGCAATCATGCAAACCCTTGAGACTGAGTAAGACAGCATGTCTGCTAACAAGTCCTCTCCAATGGAATGTCAAGACCCTCCAATGCCACATCAGCTGCCAAACCCTCTGTCCCTTTCCCTTGCTTGTCAGAGGCCATCAAAAATGACTCACTGGGGAAGGCTGGTGGAAACAAAGAGCCCAGCAAGGTAGCATAAGGTCTCTGTGGCTCTCTAAAGGTTTCCTTTCAAAACAATCCCATAAATCCCATAGAGTTGGGTGGTAGAAGAGGCAAGAAGGCGCATTACTCTTACAGAGATGTGAACCATCCAGTTGCTCAAGTACATTTACGAAATCCTGTGAGCTGCAGTTCTAGTTCTGATCTAGGGACAGGAGATGGAAACATGCCCCCTGTCCCCTAATGGTTCCTGTACTTCACTGAAACTCTTTCTCCAAAATATTTGCACCTGGAAGTCTTTCAAACTGAGACTATTTTGGACTTGGCAGTATTTTCATATACAAAAGGAGATATCTTTGTGATGGGACACAAATCGAAACATGAATTTTATTCATGGCATATATACATGTTATACACATAGCATAAACATAACCTTACATTTTTTATTTAGTGTACCTGTATTTTGACTTCTATCACATGAGGGCAGGTGTGGAATTTTCCATTTGTAATGTCATATGAGAATTCAGAAAGTTTCAAGATTTGAAGTTTTTTGGACCTTAGTCTTTAGTATTTCATTATCAATGGAACCTGCCTATAAGAACACCCCCTCCTTTTTTTTTATTTTTGAGACAGGATTTTCTGTAGCTTTGGGGCTTGTCCTGGAACACTCTCTGTAGGCC